TGCAATCGAAAATGAATTTGTACAAAAATTAAAATCAAACAAGGCTTAAAATGATTATTATATTGTGTATGAAATGTGGTCCACCCTTCTTCAATACATGGTAATACTAACAAACCGTACCTCAAGCACATGAATTTGTTACATTGGAGTGGATTAGTTCATTAAGGGTCCAGCAGTGTTTTAAAAAGATCATTTAGGCGTCGAATAGGCCACCTAGGCTTGAAGCTCGAGCAAAACGCCTACTTATGATCTTAAGACTTTTATTACAAAATTTTAAATTTTCAAGTTTCCAAAATTTTTTATTTGTATAAAAGTTAAAAATGACTCTATCTAAATGGTTAAATAAAATTTTAAATTATGTTATTATTTACATTATGTAATTATGATCTTAAGACTTTTATTACAAACTCTAAAAGCATGTTTGAAGTTCCTATAAATCTATTAAGTAGAACGTCTACTTGAAAATTGAAACTATGATAAATATTATAATTTTTGCATTCCGAAAACTTGAAAATTGCATAATTGACTAATGGTTGAAGTTATTAAGTAAATATTGCATTTTATAATTTTACGTTGAATATGTATTATTTTACTTATTAAATAATTTTTAAAATGATAAAAAATTTAAAATAATATTATAAATAAGAAAACGTATTTTTACGCCCAAAAGCAAGCTCGTAAAGCTTGAATTTTGACTCCACGCATAATCACGTTTTAAGCTTTTTAGAATATTAGGGACGCGTGAACATCTTGAACAACGAAAATAAAGGATGCAACGACCAAGAAGATTAGCTTAATTTAATATCTCAAATTTAGAAATTTAAAATCGAAAAATAAAAAGACTGGTTATTAAAAAAATAAAAAATAGTTTGACAGGTGTCTCGGCACCTGCCACGTGTGATGTCCTACATTCAAATACTCCGTTTGCTCCTTGCCCCACACCACATTCGCAGCACATCTTTTAGGGCGTGGGGGATTTGTCCAAAATCATGAGGAATTAGTGGGAGATGGCCTACTTATTTAAATAATTATTTAGTTGAATTACTTATATACAATTTAGCATTTAATTATTTAGTGTAATTAAATAACGATTATTTATTTCAATTACGTATTTAAATATTTAATTATGTATTTGAATATTTTATGTTCTTTTATTTTGAATATTATTTAGTTTTAATTACTTATTTAATAATTTTAATTGGTTATATTTTTGTCTAATATTTAATTATTTATTTGAATTACTTATTTGAATTGTTTAATTTTTATGCATATTATGTATTTAATATTTAATTACTTATTTATGTTATTTATTTTAATTGTTATTTAGTTATTAGTTATTATATAAACAATTTCAAGGAATAAATAATTGAGTAGTAAATGAATATAAATAATTAATTAAAGTAAATAAAAATGTTTAAGTAAGATAATTATTTGAAGAATGAAATACTAAGTATTAATAAAATAACTAAATTACGCAATTAAAATTAGTAATTGAAATATTAAAACAAACGATTAAATTAAGCAATTAAAATGTATAATATACATAAAGAATTAAAATAATTATTTAAATAATTAAGTAAACAATCAAATTAAGTATTAATAAAATGATTAAAGTAAGCAATTATAATAAGTGATTAAAATATTAAAATAAATGATTAAGTTTTGTATTAGTAAAATAATTAAAATAAATAATTAATATACATAAACAATTGCAATAATTATTTAAATAATGAAATAAATAATATACATAAATAATTAATATTTTTTTACGTTCATTTTCTTTATTCCATTATGTTGATTATTGCGTATAGTAGCAGTTTGTTAGTTTAATTTTCTAATATTATACTTTATCTATTATCTCTTGCACATGGTTGTAATATTTGAAATTTTTCAGGATGAAATATCATTTGGATGACGCCGTCAGATAGATTTCTGGTAAAGTTACGTCGAACTGTAACTTTGTCAGTTTCACTTAAGTATTAGATTTGTTGGACGACGAGCACGCAGACATATTACGTTGATCATGCTTATGGTCATTGTGTTCCTTGCGTGACGTACATTTTTCTGGGCTGTTGTTCAATGCCATGTTATGTTGACTACTTAAGCCAGTTGACGAAGATGCCTACCATTTTGATCTTGAGGGCAAGGTATCAATATTCTCCATATTCGAGTTTTTCCTCGTCACTGGATTGCGATGTATGAATGAAGAAGCGGCTAGGGCCCGTATTTCGAGGAACGGGAGGCTGTTGAATAAATATTTTCATAGACAAACGACAGTTACTCTAGCGTAGTAGAGAGATGCATTCAGGGGATGCGATCAAATGTTTGATAAGCTGAAGCTGGGCTTGGTGCTTATCCTCGAGAGCGTACTCAAGTGTCATCACAAGAAGATATCGATTGATATTTTCCATTTGGAGGTTGTTGATGACATTGATACCTTCAACAACTATCTATGGGGACAGAGATATTTTGTAAATACATTACGCGTCTTCAGGAGGGGATTTTCGATGCCTAAGTTAGATAGGCCCGAGTGCAAGTACGACGCATATAGACTGCCGTTGGCGTTGCAGATATATGTTTAAGTTAATGAATTATCTATGCTTTTTTTTTTATTAAATTCTATATATAATAATTGTAATTGTTGCAGTGTGGGTGTACGAGACTGTCCCCATCTTGGATAGTCGGTACGCAAGGAGAAGGGAGAGATGATTATCAGCTCTCCTCGACGATCCTGAAATACGTATTATACATTTGCGATTTATGTTTCATGTCCTTTTAAAATTTCAATACTTGGTCATTAACTATGAAAATGTCAAAATGTTAGTTTGAAATCCTCACTGAATTGGCACCGTCGATCAAAGAGGAGAGTCAAGAGTTATATTCATAAACTGTCTGTTCCGACTGCTCCAGACGATTAGATGCCCGAGTCCATCGTGGATCGAGATAGGGTATGTTAATTAAATATAATTTGCTGAATATCACTTTAATCTTGTAATTAAGTTATTCATTTGTAATATTTATTTTTTTAGGAGGGTCGTCCAGTATCACCTTCAATGCGCATTCATTGGCTTTCGAGGCCTTCTGATAGCTCATGAACACCCCATACTCTCGACGAACGTCGTTAATGATGTCCAAATGTCTATAGATCGTTCATGGATTCTGAAACTTGTGTAATATTTGTCGACCAATGAACCATGATATGTCCTGTCTGTGATCATTTTGACAAATATCAACTTTGTAGATATGTTCTCGTGCATACTTACGAACAACAAAGAACTCATTAGTGTCCATTTTCATAACTCGCATGCGCCAATGGCAACTGTCGTCAATGCAAATAATTGTGTATATTGACTTGTTTCATTTTTTCACTTAAAACTCAAAGTTATGTTTCAAAGCAATCCGGTGAATGGCTTCCTTCTTTATTTCGAACAGTTGCTCAACATACAAATCTTCATCATCTGGAATTACACGCAAATATTAGAGGACCGTGTACTCGTTCCAACATATAAGCTCCCCCTAACTCATGTCTCCGACAAGATAACGCAACTAAATCTTCATTTGTAAATTCATTTTCATTCTCATTCTCATTGTCTCCAACTGTCGACGAAATTCTGTGTGTAATATTTGTCAACCAATGAACCATGATCTGTCCTGTCTGTGATCATTCTGACGAATACCAACTTTGTAGATATGTTCCCGTGCATACTTACGAACAACAAAGAACTCATTAGTGTCCATTTTCGTAACTCGCATGCGCCAATGGCAACTGTCGTCAATTCAAATAATTGTGTATATTGATTTGTTTCATTTTTTCACTTTAAACTCAAAGTTATGTTTCAAAGCAATCCAGTGAATGGCTTCCTGCAAATCTTTCTTTATTTCAAACAGTTGCTCAACATACAAATCTTCATCATCTATAACTACACGCAAATATTAGAAGACCGTGTACTCGTTCCAACATATAAGCTCCCCCCAACTCATGTCTCCAACAGGATAACGCAACTAAATCCTCATTTGTAAATTCATTCTCATTCTCATTGTCTTTAACTGTTGATGAAATTCTGTGCGTAATAGTTAGGTCATGGTGAGGAACAATTGTTTTAGGAATAACCACATCATCCTCACGAGCAATTTCCATCTTGTATCGAAAATCATTCACATTAAGATCCTCTCCATCAAAATCTTCATGTTCATCAGGGTTATTCTTCTCCACTAAAGTTACGCGAATATGAATTAAGTGATTCTGGTCCAATTCAATTAAAACCTTCATTTCAGCTTCATAAGTAACCATTACGTGCGGAATTGAACTGGATGCATGCTCGCTGAGCAGAAATCCCAATTCCATGTCATACTGAGAATGATCGACGCCAAGCATGTTCTGTAATTCATGTTACATTTTTCGCATACGATGTACTCGATCTTATAACAATTGATGTAGCACTACGTCTTTTGCTCGTCCATTTTCATACCCATTGTTAATTTTCGTTCATTTCAAATTTACTAAAATAGCAAATCGGAATTGCAGCCGAACCCATATCTACAGAAGGAAAACATAATTGTTTAAGAAATTATAATTACATGGAAAATGGACAGTCGACCCAAATGGAAACCTATGACTAGGCCGTCGGTCCGTCCGATCGAAACAATCGGGCCCGACACCATTGTTGCCAAGGCCGACTATTTCCATTCGGTCCAGACGCCATCATCAATCGAGATTCTTCCATACAAGTTCTTCAAATTTTGTCTGATAATTAATATATACAGATGAATATTTTCCTCGTTTTTGCTTTAAAATGTTATAGATCCATATGAGATTGTAAAAAAATTTCTACTATTAAAATCATCCATTTAACTATTAAAATGTTAATATTTTTTTTATTAAAATTTTATTTCCCTCAACTAATTCGACGAGAAAAAGATGGTCGATAAATATTAAACTCTCTACATACAGACGCTATAAAAGGTACACCATATATGTAAAATGTGTGTGTGTGTGTGTGTTTTTTTAAACATCGATTCCATAAAACATCCTTAAAAAGTAAGAAACTCAGGATGAGAAATCTTGCGTGTACAATCAACTAGTCATTAAACCAGCAAATGATACAATCATGACTTACAATGGTAATATCGCATTTGGGGGAAGGATTGGATAGCACATGACACTGTTACGAAAGAGAAATTTTGGTCATTATTTCGGCCCCACATAGCAAATATGCACATAAAGGGATCATGTTGTTATCAAATCTTCTGCCTTTTTCGAGCTACATCGGCATCTTCGCTGTTGCTTGCATCTTGAAAATGCCCTTCTGATTTGTCCCCAGAAGGCATAGGATTTTCATGATCCTAGAGTGTAATGCAAGATTAAATGTCGGAATAGAACTCTCACGGTATCGAGGCTGACAGCATTCCTCAAATGTAAAAAAATAAAAATAAAAATAAAAATGACAACATATGAACATAAAATGCTTCATACCATGGCATTTGATATTCCTGAGGTTGATCCTCGATTTGCACATTTCCCAAGATTGATCTGCACTGACATACGGGCTTCCGATAGATCCACGCCCGTGCTCTCAAGTGCTTGAGTCAATGAATTCAAGAACCTTATTGCGTCAAATATCACATGTTAGCAAAGAAATTTTATACATAATAAAAAGGACAGAGATGATGTGTTGGCTGAGAAAACAGGTCATAGTACTGCTTGAACTCAAAGCAACGAGAATCAAGAAGCATTTCGTGAAGAAATAGAACAGTAAAATTTCCAATAAACAAAATAAAATTGGTTGACCATGATGGAGTAAGTTAAGAGTTCCCATGGTGTTCCAAGAAATTTAGAACCATATATTGGAAATTTTATGATAAATCACCTTTGGGAGTAAACATTTGAGATGCTAATAGTGCCCCCTTCAACTGACAGTTCCTCCTGATTCATAATGCCTGAAGCAGTTCGGTCTTCAGTGGACTGCACAACTGAAGCTGATTTTGGTAAAGTCTGGGAGAAGGCACCGTCGTTAGGGATACAAGCTGGCATGCTTGCCTGCAGTGACACGGGAATGGCCATTGCCTCATCTGCAAGTTCAGCTTGTGGATCCACCGCTCTCCCAGACGCATTCCCACTAGGTTCTAATTCAATAGGATTCTGATGACTCGCTTGCATGGTTGAAGGGACCCCCCTGACATTATTTTCATCAAGCCGACAGGGAAATGTCGAACCAGAACCATTCTTCATGGCTTGAGCTTGACCGACGTGACTGTGAACATGCCAATGGCTATTTCTCTATTCCAAGTGCAAGGAAAAACAAAATTAATAACAAATCAAGAATCACGATATAAAGGAAATAAAATGTTCTGTAGCTACTAAAAAACATTTATCCAATCAATGAATAGGTTGAAAGTAAAAAATTCCAAACTGAATTTTCATTCTACAGAAGCTAAAAGCAAAAGAACGTATCATCCAACAACGGTAAAACCCAACCCAATCACGAAACAGAGTAAAGCCAAAGTTTAAACACAAGCAACAAGGTTGTGAATGAATAAAAAGAGCAAGGGCTGAGCGGAGAACAGCTAATGGATCAAGAACCTTTCACAAAAGCATTCCGTTTTACCAAGTTCGCTTGTCTTTTGCGATTCCACAAGTTTTGTGTAGTAATTCAAGTTGCTGATCTACCACACCCAAAACAAGAAGGTTGTGAATGAATAAAAGAAAGCAAGGGAGTGGGAGACTCAGAGAATTAATAGCCAAAAGAACATTACAGACATAAATTAGCCAAATAAACAAATTATTAAGAACCCAAATGATGGGATCTGGGTGACTACTGCCTATAAACAGTATTAACAAAAAGGGTGTTGGGTTCTGTTTTTGAAGCGGAAATTGGCTTTAAGAGAGGTTGAATTGGAGTGGCATTCGATTCTTTTCATAAAAATACATGAAATATATATACATTCCTTTTAAGTGTGCTGTTACTGAAAGAAAAGATTTTATGTTGTTATGTAATAGCCTATTATTGCATCAGAGCATCAGGCAACCCACGACGTAGAAATATGGTGCAACATGATAGCTGCAATCTCCTTCTCCTTCATGGTACTCTTTCAGTTGAGGATCGGCATTCTTATTTAGAGTGAAAAAACTCCATTTGATTTTACTAAAAAGGGAGAACTCGTGTACAGTACATGTAACTCTCACTCAGCTAAGAAAATCCATCCTAGTATCTATACATTCGGAAATCAACTGAGAACCACTAATGTACAAGTAAATTTGCAAGTGTGTCTATAAATGTGGGAGTCAACTGGGAACTATAAAGAATTTGTCTTAAAAAAAGGGGTGTGAGAATCAATATCGAGTAATCGGATGGAAATATCTCATAACTTGAAACTTTAAAAGACATAATATGCTTTGCGGGCAACCAAACAAGCTAAAATTATGGATTCATCTATATTTAGTCTGTCGAGATGTTACCCACGGCATTAGCTTTGTGGGCTCCAAATTCAATGATTGGTACGGCCCTTCATACTTCTGTAACTTCTCTTGTAAAAACTGTACGTATTGAATCACCTGCAACGAAATATTAATAAATAGCCATTAAAATAAGAAACTCCAAATAAATCAACTAAATGTATGACTTTCAAATCAAACAATTTAGCGTTAATTTCACCAATGGCCACTGAGTTTGATCAAAATTTCAAATTGGTCACTATAGTTTTTTCTGACCTATTTAGTCACTAAAGTTAATAACAGTTTTACCGGTAATCACTCAGTTATTAAAAGTAACATATAATCTGGCATAGCATCTGTTAAGTGACAAGATGGGCCAAACGCCGTTAATTCCACTGCCACATACGCATATGTCTGACTTTCTCTTGTTTTTGATCTAGTTAGGAAGAGCTTTTTCTTAAATGTTTATTATACTCATATAAATAAATTCCATCCTTGTTATCAACGTCCCTAAACCTATGGTAATCTTCAACCATATCGTAAACCTTATGAGAGGTCATCAGATGCCCAGTTATTGGGTCAACCTCTTCCGCCAATGGCACCCTGTAGTAAATTGATACCTCAACCCCTAAAACCTCCTTCAAATGTGTCCTCAACTTCCTCAGCACTCTTGATCATCCAAACAACCAGGGATTCCCACCATCACCATACATGAGCACATCTCCAGGGGAAACCCAGCACCATCCCAGATAAAGTTTGGATATTTTGGGGAGAGGATGAAATTTTTGTAGCTCAGCTTATTGAACAGAGGTTAGATGATTTCATTATGCCCCTGTTTGACAACCATTATTTCAGAACTCTTTTTTTTCATACTTATTTTCATCCACACATTCACATAACAAAATATCCTACAAGTAAACCCAAAACCTTTCTTTACTTTTTAACCACACATTCTCCAAAAAATCCCTATTCAAAAACCCATTTTATCCAAATAATGGATATAAAACAGGTGCTATATGTAACTCATTTACAAATACAGGAAAGAATAATAATTTACAAATGATACATCACCACATGTCGAACCTATTGCATAAATCTGGGAGGTGCAATCAGCAATTTCACAGCCAAAACCAGTAAGTAATCGATACTGTTGCTATAAAAGAATTCTGGGGCTGGATATCTGCTCATAATTCACAAGCCACACTAATGTTTTTGTTTAATATTGCCTTTTCAATCCACTTAAAAAATGTAATCTTCAATTTGTAGGCTAGAAATTTAGCATTCCCATCATTGTACTTCTCCAATTTCTGGTATCAAATTAAGTCATCATTATAACTTCCTTTTTTTCTTTTTTCTTTTTTTTCAAATTTTTCACTTCAACATTGTTTTTGGAAGGCTCCAATTGATCGCTGATTCTAACAGTCCCCCCAGGCGACAACACTTCACAACCTTCTCTTGATTCCTCGTCATTATTCCCTCAATTCCACCCTCTAACCTACTCACAAACTCCATCACCTCTGGCAACACCAGCTGTGCACCACAATCCTTTGTTGCAGTCCATGCACTCACCATTGCCAACCAATTACCGTACTCATGCGAGAATATCTGACAACCCATCCAACATCCTATAATATGGGAACACAACAGGCTGTGGGCAAAACAACCTACTCGCGGGTCTTGAGGGTGATGTGATAGTAGTAGTTGGGTTGTCGGAGGAACAGAAGGTAGTGGTGTTGCTGGGCAGAGATGATGGAGGATTGGCAGCATCTGAAGTTCTCATCATTTATTCAGGCAATGGTCGGTCGTGATGCGAGAACTCTGACCGAAGCTCCAATGGCTCAATGGGTTTGAATTTATGGGTGGTGCCACTGATGGAGGCCATTTTAAGGGACTTGGATAACTTTGTGGACGATTTTAGAGATAGATGCACAAACACATACAGGGCAAACAAAGCAAAAAATGTGGCCGGTAAGTACAATAAAGGTGTCTTTCTAAATGGGTAAGAAACAAGAGAAAAAGGACCTCTGAATGTGGCAGAATTAGCAGTGTTTGATCCAGCTTGACACTTGGAAGATGCAATTAAATCTTAGATATATAACTGGGTAATGAATGGTGATAGTTAACCTTAGTGAGTAAATGCGTAAGGAAATAAAAAAAATTTAACGACCAATTTGAAATTCTGCATAAACTTGAGTGACCATTGGTGAAATAAACTCAATAATTTACCTCCAATAAGACAGAAGCTGTATCTCTCTTCTGATCACAATGGGGTATCAATTCTCTCAATATCTGAAATCTGTTAATAAGAAAATTTGTTATGATGCTGAGAGATAATGTCAGAAACTATAAATCATTGAATTCATATTTACACACCACTAGAGATAAAATTGTGAGAGTAATACATGGAAATGCAATTTGCATAGTTTCCAGCAAAAAAAAAAAAAAACATACGGAGAAAACAACAGAAAGAATATAATTTATTTATTTATTTCCAAATAGAGACTTTTCCTTGATTCAACTAATACTAATTATTAGCCAATTAAGCTGTTTGAAAGTTAACAAAAGTAAACAGAGGACAAAATTTATGGATAGAGATGTACTCTCAATCATTTTGCATTTGCAGCATTGGCTTAAGCTAGCGTCATTCTTTGTAAAGCATTAACAACCATGCTGAGAAACTACATGTTTCAGAAAAATATCAAGACAATGGATGATTGACGGAGGCAATTACTCAGGTAGGTATACATCTAGAAGCATACTGAGTGAAGTCTAAACAGGTTATCGCAAATGGCTGAAGAATATGATATATAGAAAGCCATCGTACTTGAAAACCAAGGTTAACAAGAATGAAGGATAAGGCAACAATATTGACGATATTTAGTGCAGGGACAAGCAGAAGTCCAACAAGTCTCTTTGGAAATCCACAAAATAAGACGAGAATGTGATCCATTCAGACAAGAATAATCTAACTAGCCTGATAAATCCAGTGACAAAATTACTGCTGGTTCAATATCAATTAGGCCATATTGATACGAGTAATGATTGATGGCAAGACAAAACTCACAAATAAATAGGTTTTTAAACGCTTACCCTTTCAGGATTGCCTTACATGAGGTTTTCATTCAAAAATTCGAAGCTCACAATTTGAGTGCCATTTATCCAGGCCTATGCCTCCACTCACTCAACAGTCAACATTAAGCCCTACGGAGATTAAGCCCCTATTTGACCCCCTTTAAAACAAAACAATTTATTTTTCATGTTCATTTTCAACCATACATCCACACAATGAAATATTTTGCAAGTAAGCCTAAAATTTTCCTATTCTTTTTAACCACAAATTCTCCAAAAAATCACTATTCAAGCATCATTTTTACACAATAATGTCCATCAAATCGGGGCTCAGGTTCGCGCTCAATTATCTTTCCTTTTCTAACTTCTACTTTCCTTAACTTTTATTCCTTTAAACAGAAGAGGAAAGGTACTGGAAGTGATAGTAACAAGATGGATGAGATGAGAACCATGTATGTTGATGATTGAGCTGTCTTATGGTTGAATTCCAATTTCACACCAAAACTCAATCAAGTGCCAATTAAACCAAAATAATTGAACTAAATTCAATACCCAGCGCTTTACTGTGAACTGTAATTCATCAATTGATACTTTCCATTACAATGCAGGGAATTACAAGTGAAAGAACAAATATAAAAGTGAAGACATAGATCAGCTGAGGGAGAGAGTTCGTGAGCATGGGTGGGAGCCATGACATCATGTTAGCAATGATGATGTGGGAAAGTTGCACTAGTTTATACTTCTAGTAGATTGAAAATTTTTCATGTGATTACTAACTTGAGAATCTAATAATCAATAGAATGTTGACCTATTTTATGTTTATTTGGAAGTTAGACTTATAATTTTGTTAATTTGTTTTGGATTCCTGAGATGTTAATAATTTATTATGAGTATAATAATGTATTTTTATATTTGATTGAAACTGGTTTGTCCTATTTCTTATGCTTAAAATGACCAATTGAGCCTTTGTAGACATTGCATTTGTGAGGAACCAACAAAAAGGAAAATGGACTAGTTCACTAATAAAATACACCATGCAGCCATTGAACATATAATAATTCACTAAAAGGATATTACAATTTATAAGCACAAAGCTATTAACAAGCACAACTGGTATCCTCGATGTCCATAGAACATTTTAGCCTTAAACAATATAAGAAGCTAAATGCAAATTGATTTCCTAATGTTAAACATTTGTTAATAACTTCCTCTAGACCATGTTCTAACAATTCAATTATCTCAAAGCTTAAACACTCAAAATCCAATTCACTTAAAGAACTCAATTTTTTTTATAAATGGCTCTGCGATGACGTTATCAAATACAAGAAAATAAATCCATGAAATAACAATCAAAGTTAACTGTCAAGCTCTTTACAAGAGATCTTGGCATACTTTAAAGACGAATATGGTAATATTATTACAATTTGACAGATATAAGCGCATCCAAATAAAAATTTTCCGCATAACATAATCTATTGCATAGATACATATAAATAGGTAGTACTACCTAATATATAACATCAAGTATATTTAAACACTAAAACAAGTATTATATCAATTTTACCATTTTAAATTATTTTCCTCCGCGCGCAAAATTAAAATTATAACCTACCACAAAATTCATTCAACTCATATGAAAAATTCACCTCTCGTTGATCTTGCTCCTCCTCCGCTGTTCTGTAACTGAATGTTTTGACCTTGTTGCATTCGCCTTATCATTGTTCTTCCCATCTACTTTAACAACAATTTATACCAAAAATAAGCCAGATTACAATAAACTCAATTCATAAAACTCACTAACATCAACAAATAAATTTCCGAAACACAAGAAGACCATCAAGGCTCAACATCCCTCACGCATATAAATATATAAGTTAGGGAAAAAAATAAAAAATAACAAAAATAGAGCATGTACTTTTGGTTTTCTTGGTACCAATCTCTTCATCATCCTCTTCTTCGTCCTCTTGATGGCTCTTTCCCGGTCTCATGGTATTTCTCCCAAGACTTAATTTCTTTGGCTGCATAAAATCAAGAAATTCAACATACCCACATAATTGAAATGAAAAAATAGCCTGATATGATCACAACTAGAAAAAGAGATCTGTAAACTATTTAAAGGATATAAAAATAAAGGGAAAAAATTATACCAAAGAGATTATAGATTTATGGTTTAAACCTGAGATTTCGTGGAATTTCAGATTTTGGGCTCTCCTGTGTCTGTAGTAACCAAGTGCAATAACTGCTACACCAGCTTTTTGGCTTGGTGGTGGATATATAAATGAGCTGGCGTTTTTTACTCTTCATTTACTCTTGCTGTTTTTTTCACTTACCTAATATTTGGGGGTTCATCTTTTCACTTACGGTAGATGAAATTGGATCTCATAAATCATGTGATGTGATTCATGTTGAGGACGATTGGATAGAGATATAAAGGAAGAGCCCACGTGGGCCTCTCATGAACTCCGTTGCCAAATTATTTTCATTTTTCCCCCTTTTTCCGTTCTCTATTTGCTTGGGGTTTTGGGTATCAATTATGAACATTTTTACATGTATGCTCTTCAGTCAAATTTTTAAATTTATAATTTATTGCTTGAAATTTATTATTCACAAGTGATATTTTACTTTTAAATAACTTTTTAGGATAAGTTAATATTTAACTTTGAAAGTCAAATATTTATTTAGAAATTAAGTTAGTATTTTTTTACTTATAAGTAAATTCTACAATTGTAAGTAAATTTACATTTTTTGAGTTACCTTACCCTCGTGAGATTACGATTCTTTATCCTGACTATTGTAGCTAGGGCTATAAATGGATCTGATATGAACCGGATATGTACGAATTCGATTCAGTCTGATCCAATAAGCCAATAGATGTTTGATTGTTAAATCCATATTCGATTTGCTATGTTATTGAATATTCGATTAGATAATTCGATCCGAAACTGAAAAAGTTAGAAAGATAAAAAAATTTATATTAGTCAACTTCTAAGTCGTAGAATTAAAAGACACAAAAAGCTTCACCCAATCCTTGCCCCACCTATTTCTAGATCGCAAATTTTATGACATTCTAATGAGTGTCCCAAATGGGAAATGGAAAGTTGTGAATAATGAAAGTAACTCCAATTGTTGGCTTATTTGATTATTTAATTTATAAAATAAATAAATTATTTTTTATCTTATTTTAATTAAAAATAAAAAAATCTTCAAATATTTCTGTTGACCCAAAAAATGTACGAACAAATGTCAGGTTCCGCTGAAGTCCACGTAAGCAAATTTCATTGGGTTTTATACGGATATCCAATCAAAGATTTGTAGACCTATAACGAACATAGGTATGTGAATGAGATATTCAAGATCATGAGCAATCAAAAAATAATAATAATAAATAATAATAAATTAAGCAAGCATTCAAAGAGTGAAGATAATAATGTATATTTGAATGTATATTTTTTCATCCTTTACAATGTTACAAAAGCTGCTATTTATAGTGGTTAGACCGAACTGGTCACCATTGGTCATATTCGCATGGCTCCATCTAATTGATTGAAATCTCATATCACTAGTCACACATTAAGTACATTTGACAAGGGGTCAGTCGTCCTACATTCCTAGACTGACATGTCTGACACTATTATTGCAAATGTTACAGCAATCATTCTTCAAAATACACTCATCAAACCTATTATAAAGAATACAATCACTTCAGTCACAAACTACAAGTGGGAGCCTCGAACACGAATGAGTTCAACTTCAAAGGGAGCACTTCGGCAACGGAGCTTTGATGGAGATAGTGTCTCGGCTAAGAAAACGATTCTTGCCTCCTCTATTTTATCTTGATTTACTACCTCCACGTGGCTTCCACTGGAGGCTTCATATATAATCAATAACAAAAAATCCCCAAACCTATGTATGGTCATTTATGCAATGCATGAACTTTATGCTTTATTGAGAAAATTTGTTTTTATAGGAGTAGTAATTATTTTATTTTTATTCTACAATCATAGTCCTCCAAGTCTAATTTGCGAAGCACTTGACCAAGGTTATTTACTGAAGTACCTTGACGAGGCTGATATTAGCTTGGCAGAGGTCACTTTCACATAAATCTGACCATACGAAGGCAATAAATGTTGATATTGGAGTGGAAGAAGTCATTAATTTGAATGAAGTCGTAGTCATGAGAACTGAAGAGGTCATGCTAGTTCATCGTTGGTGATAAGTGAGTGAGTGTGTGTGTGTGTGTGTGTGCGCGCATTTTACACACTTATTAGGCACTTTAATAAGCTAATCATTGATGTCATTGAGTGGGTTCATATTCATAATTGTGTAAATATGGTGTTTGTAGGTTAAAATTCTAAATTGAAAGAGAAAAAGGCTAAAAGGAAGGAAAAAAGACCAAAAATGGACAAAATCATGACTTTGGGGGACTAATATGTACAAGTCAGAAAGTTCAAGGACTAGAGTTGCAAATTTTGAAGGACTTGATTGAAAAGAAATTCAAATTTTGAGGACTAATTAGATTAAACAAAAGTTAAAGGATCAAACGTGTAATTCTTTGGAAACCAAGTTGAAGAAAAGAAAAGAAAAAAAAAAAGGTAAGGCGCGCGCCTCAGCTCCCATTTTGGGCAACTGAGAGCAACCAAAAGGCTAAGAGCGCCTTAGGTTGAAAATCAGGATCTGTGTGCAAATTTTAATTTTTTCAAGGGCTCTTCTTGCAATTTGGTTGGGACAATTTTTTTCCTTTTTAAACACCATATTCACCCTTTCTCAACCATTTTTTATTCATCTTGGAAGAAAACCCTAGCCTCCTTCTCTTTCTTTTTACTTTCATTTTCATTTTCTTTCTTTTCTTCTCCTTGGTATTTTTAAGAGCAAATCATAGAGCATAAAGGAGAATCATTCAAGGAGGTGGAGAAAATATTTGAGAAAATCAAAGTCAAGCTTCAAATTGGGTTGTAACTATAACTTTGTATTTACTTAATTATTTTGCCATACTTGCAATATATTGTACAAAATATTCTCCTTTTTATCATTTGTATAAATGGGCTAAGTTATTTGTGTTGGGATTTATGGTTGTAGTTTTATCTAGCCTTGATTAATTTTAATATTTGCCCTTTGATACTGATTTGCTTATTTTCATGTGTTTCTTTTATTGTATTCCATGCATTTTCTTTTATGTGGTCAATGAATGATTATGTTTAGTGAATTGTACATCGTTTGAGAGAAGATTGCGTATTTTAAATCAAATAATAAAAACCCTAGGTTTGTGTAGAGGATAGAGATATACCTCTAGTTCAAGGTGACCCAATGAGCTATTTTCACAAATATTTAATACATTGTTTGGTTTTAATCGACATAGAGATATAATAAGTTAAACCAATCAATTATGGTTAATTTTGTTCGAGATAGGTAATTAACTAAAATTGGAAAATTAGGTCTAACATCGTAAATGAGTAACTTTTTAATTGGCTTGTAGAGAAATTAATTAGGTGACGGTTAAATAAAACTATGAACCCTAACCACGTTTGCTTTTGAAAATTCCCAAGAGTTTCATATTTTCTTATTTTGTAGATTTTTAGTTATTTTCTAAAATCATAATCTTTATTATGTGTGTTTCTTTTTATTGTTAGAATTAAATTAAATTAATTAGAGTTGTGTAATCGAAAATATACATTTCTCGAGGAATTGGCAACCCGGACTCAAAAGATCCACTTTATTACATGAACGCGATGCGTGCACTTGTGGCATGCACTTTTAGCGACTAAGTTTTTGGCTCCGTTGCCGCAAAATGTTTTTATTTTAATTACCACTTTAGTTAATTTTCCTTTTAACAATTTCTTTTCATTTATTTTTAATTGTTTTTGTTTTTGTATATTTTGACTAACCCTGCTATTATTAATCTATCTTGTGTTGGTGCTCTCTCATCGTACTTTTCAGCTATAGTTCATTATTTCAATCTTGGTAGAGTAACAAAGTTTTTGCAATGTCTAATCTCTACATTGACTATGAATTTATGCTTGGAGGTCCAAGATGTGAAATTTGTTAAGCGATACATTGTACAAGACAATGCTTGTTTTCGTGCACGATACGTCAATGTTGAAATGTCTTAGGTTTAGACAATATTTGAAATGTCGAAAATAAGTAATGGACAATTTCGATGATAATTACATGCTCGCGGGAGATTATGCACCTAATGATTAGGATGAGGACATCAAACTTTCGGGAGATTGTCCTCCATTTTTGAACGAGAGGGTACTTACAAAGTATTACAATGAACTTACCAAGTTGGATGAAGAAGACATGTTAGTGAGAGATTACAAATATTGGAATGGATTTCGAAAGTGGGGGTATAATCCACTCAATGGGGTTAATATGAAAGACTTGCCATTGCCCGTGGAATTAGAAGGTGGATCGATCATTCAATCCGATGAAATATCAACTATTGAAGAAGAACATGAAGAGGATGATGAATTCATCACAATGGAGCTATACGAGGATGTGGCAATCAATGAGGTGAAAATCAACTTCCATTCTTCCAACTTAGTTGATTGCCAATATATTGATTTTGTGATTAAATCGGATGAGGAAGTAGAAATCTTCATAGTTGAATTTAAGTTAACTGGAATAGACAAGTCTTATTATATGAGAATGAGCAATGTTGTTTTGGAGATTGTAGAAACAAAGCCAAAAGAAGGAAAATGAGTAAGGCATCCAAAGGCTTCTTTAGGTGCCCGTGATTCAATCGTCAAAGTCAAGCTAAAGACCATAAAAAAGTGCTTGTTGGGAAGCAACCCAACCTTATAATTTTTAAGCTTTTTATTTACTTTTATGCATTTTTATACTTTTATCTAATTAGCTATCATTTTTTGAAGGAAATTTTTGAAGTCCCAGCCTCTCATGGATCTCGACAAGTTTGGGGGTGCACGGTCCACTAAGTCATGAACCAAAAAGTCATCTACAACATCCTTTAATAAACACCTAATCGGGAAAGTTTCGTCAACCCTCTCTCCTTATTTTGTATTGTTTATGCACGCATTGAGGGTAATGTGTAAGTTAAGTTTGGGAAAGTTGATGGGATATTGTGTCTATATATCATGCTTATATTAGTGTTGATACTGGCGTGTTAGATAGCCTTGTCGACTTTTGATGATTTGATGTGATGTTTATAATTGTTATTAATTCATAAGTTATGCCCAATCATGCTATTTGTTTCGATCTTGAAAATTTGCTTGTCCATGTGAGAGTTTATACCATTTTGAGCACAATAGTCACAATTGGTTGTTGTCTAGATTTGGAAATGGTTGATTGATGGAAAATTTTTGAATTGGAAGAACTTGGTTGTTATTTTCACATAAACTTCTATCATACTCTAAATACTC